GCTCCCTGGGCGCAGGCACCTGCAGAGCCCCGTGTGCAAGGCCTTCCGGCACGTCAAGGTGGACACACTGCGCCAGCCCGAGGCCCTCTCCCGGATCTCAGTGCCAGGTAGAGGGATAAGGGCCAGCACTGGGGAGGGCTGCCCAGCTCCCGAGTTCCAGCAGACAGGCCCAAGGGCAGCGCCAGCTGAGGAAGCCCCAGTCCTGCAGTGACTCTCCGCTACCTCCCTACCGGGAGCAGAGCCCGATGCCCAGTCTCGACAGCCACATTGGCATAGGGCTCAGGAGAGGCCCAGGCCCACACCCCACCMGCCACAGAACAGGGGCCCAGGCCAGGACTCAGAGCGGGCGGAGCTGGCCCTCTGCAGCCCTGGGCCAGCGCGAGTGAGGCACGTGCCCAAGTGGCCTGGGGGAGAAGCAGATGTGGCCCCAGGTGGGGGGCGCTCGGCCTGCCCCCACTGACTCTCTCCTCCCGCCTCTAGCCGCTTGGTGCACCGTGGGCCGAGACTGACCGCCGCCGAGGCGACGCCCCTTTTCTAGAAACTTTGGTACAGTCTTTTCAATCTACTTCTCAACAAGAATGTATTTCCTCTGCGTTTGAAGTGAAAGAGGACCCCTGCCCCCACCCTAGCCGGGAGGGCTCTGGGGTCCCCCCGAGGCTCCTGGGCTGGCATCCCCACCGCCCCTCCTGCCCCCCGGCTGGCCTCGAAAGGCCAGCCCTGGCTCAGCAGGACTTTTCCCCAGCCGCCTCTCCTCACCCCTCCTGACAGCCCCTCCCTGGTAGGAGCCATGGCCCTGTAGTGCCCAACCTAGGCCTGGGCCCAGCCCAGAAGTGGCAGTAGTACCCATGTAACAGTGCCACACTCGGTACCAAATAAACCCTAGCTGGGAACAGCTCTGTGTTGTGCTTCTGTGTCCCCTTTCCTGAGTGACAGCTGGCCGCCAGGATGGCCCCGGGTTTGCCACAGACCTTAACCCAGACGCCTGGCCTCTAGGTCCTGTTTGCAGTGTGGAGGTGGTGACCGCTCTGGGGAGGCATGTGACATCTACGCTCCTGCCTGTGAGCCCTTCTGGGTCCTAGGACCACCCTCAGCTCCAGGAGCTCAGCCAARGGACTCAGTGAAGCTGCTGGGGTCACTGGTGGTTTAGGGCAGCACAGGGACCCTCCGCGTCAGCAGAGCCAGCCCAGGTGGCAGGAGTGGTGTCAGCCCTGCCCCGCCCCAGGGACCCCACCTTGAGTCCTTAGCATGGACACAGGTGGCCCAGGTAAACAGACTGCAGGACACCCCGGGGGCGGAGAGCTGGCCTTCTGGGGGGCAAGGCCAGGGCTGCCCAGAGCTGGGGGTGCGGCTGCTGTCCGGCAAGGCAGCCCCATGCTGGCCTTGAGGTCCTGGTCTGGAAGCTCTGTCCTGGTTAGAGGACAGTCTCACAGAAGGCTCCAGGGACAAGGAAGAGGTGAGGCCAGCAGGGCTCCTGCAGGGCAGGGAGGCTGGGGAGTGGGGGGCAGCAGGCCATGGCCCAGGAAGCAGACCCACGCCCTCCCCTTGGCACCCCACACAACCAGAACAGCAGGCATTCGGGACAGTGGGGTGGGCTTGAGGCCTGCTGTCCCTGAGGTGCACCCTGGCGCCAGCCCCCTCCTCCTGCAGGGCAGGGACCTGCAGCGGCACCCAGAGGGGGCCACTGTACCCTTAGGACTCAGCGCCAAGTCTCTCCAGAGGCGCCCTGAACCCCCTGCACACACCTCCTGGGCTGCTGGCAGCCCCCTCACAGGCAGGGTGGGTGGGATCAGGCTCTGAAGAGAACACATTTCAACCCTAAAAGGCAWAAGAGCTCCACTTGATTGACACTTCAGAGCCACGCACAGAATCCAGCACTTGGCACCATCTCCCTCATGCTCCCAGCACCATCCTGGGCAGGGAAATGAAGACACAGAGAGCACATTAATAGCTCAGGTGGATTCTAACCGAGAGCACCTACCCACAACCCTGTGTCCAACTACCCTGCACTCCATGGTGGGGGGAAGACCCTTAATGTCCGACTCAGTTTCCTCAAAAAGTTAAAGGCAGAATTACCCTATGACCCAGCCATTCTATTTCTGGATACACACTATACCCACAAGAATCTTTAAAAGGCATTCAAACACGTATCTGCACCAGTATTCACGGCGGCACTGGCCACAGCAGCCAAAAGGGGGAGACAACTCAAATACCCAMGGACCAGCAGCAGGTACAGAACACGCCGCAGCCAGCATGTGTCACGTGGTCTCTTGGAAGAGGTGGCTTTAGGCACCTGCATCTCTACACCCAAGCAGTTGTCACCATTGACCTGGGACAGGCCAGGCTCTGTTGGGGCTTGCAGGGGACCCTCTGCTCATCCTCACCGTGGTCCTGAGGGGAGGGCTGTGGAGGCCTGTGTTGGAGGACGAGAGGATGGAAACGCGGGGCCAGAAGGACACGGAGGCGGGGAGCACACTGATGGCGGGTCCCTGTGGCGGTGGCCTGAGGCAGGCACTGCTCAGAGAGGGCACAGGCTGGGCCAGGACCACACAGCCAGCCGGTGACCCAGGTCAACCTGGATCCTGCAGGCTCAGCCCCACCCACGCCCTCCTCRGCCCTCTGCCTCCCTGTCCCGCACAGACCTCAAGGCACCATTGGCATTTGAGGAGGACAGTCCAAAAGGCCGTCAGCACCTTCCTCCCCAGGTCAGACAGCCAGGGGGCCTCCCTCTGCTGGCAGGCCGCTGTCCCTGTGCTGGGATGGCCAACATGCGGCTCACATCTGAACCTGCCACAGAACCGGCTGGAAACCTTGGTCCTGGTGGCAATGCGGTCACCCCTAAAGCCCTTGCCCTTGCCCTCTCTTCCTCTTACCTTTAATGCCCGTCCACTCCCTCCTGTGTCACTCTGCTGGGGGAGCCCTCGAATCCTCCCACTTCCCTTTTCCCATAACTGCTAGGAAACTCAGTGTCCTCTGCCAACCTTGGTGGTTTCTGGAAACGCAGCTGCCTTTCTCGGTGAGAGACACCCTAGCGGCTGTAGGTGCAGCACCCCCCTCGAGCTCCACAGTGAAAACACAGGAACAGTAGCCGGCTCCACTGGGCCAGGATGAAAGCTCCTACGTTCCCAGCAGCTCTGAGATAGCGCGTGGCGGAGCCAGGTTCCCAACCAAGCTCAGGTTCAAAGCCAGTCACCTGGCCTGCCTTCATGGCAGGACCCTTACTGTGCCCGCTCTGTTATTCCTGGATTCTCTGAACAGCCTCAGCCTGGCCCAGCCTTCTGGCCCATGCAGCAGAGCCCTGGAGGTAGCAGGTGTCAACAAAGGCCACATCCTCAGCTCACCTGCTAGAGCACTCTGCCTGGTGTGCGTCCTGGCTCCTGAGCCTTCGTCTGGGAGGACCCTGTGGCCACTGGACACAGGGTGGGCAGGTCACAATGGCTTGGTTCAAGGGGCCTGGGAGAGAGGTCCTGTGTCCCCTCACAGGGTCCAGAGCCTTTGCCTGCAGCCACGCCCCTCCCCCAGGGCTGTGGAGGAGGCTGGCAGGGGCTCCACCCCGTCTGCAGGCTGAGCACACGTCCCCTCCTGGGTCACTCCTCTGCTTGGAGCACGCGGTAGAGGAAGCAGACAGTGGAGCTCAAGCCAAGGTGGGTTGTGACTCGGCGCTGCGGCCTGCAGGACAGGCCGCCCTGGCCTTCCCACGCCTCGGCTGACACCTGTGCAGTGGGCYCTGTGCTCCCTCAAGGGGCCCCCCACAGGACTGCGTTCCGCCTGGGTCGACCAGGAGTGTCCAGTCAGGACGACCTGGAGACCGAGGGGACAGGGCTGCTGATGGCATGGGGCCCTCCCGGGTGAGGACAGCTGCTGCAGGAAGGTGGCRGGGTGGCGCGGTGGTGGCGTGACTGAACACGCCAAGTGCCCGGACCGAGCACCTCAGGGGCGTGTCTCACAGCGTGTGAATTACAGCGTGGCGTTTAGACTGAGTGACGTGGACAGGCTGGCACMCACACAGTCCTGTCACCATCGACCTCACTGGGTCACAGACGCCGTGTGTGACACACATGGGAAGGGCACGGGCCACTGCCTGGTCACGTCCTGCCCAGGGGAAAGCGCCCTTCTGAAGGACCCTCTGCCCTGACACTCTCTGCAGCAGGCCGACTCCTGCCAGGGCCGGGTCGGGGACAGGGGACAGGGTGGGGCCAGGAGGGAGCTACAGGGCGATGGGCCCACTCGGCTCCTGGGCTCTCCAGGCAGAGCAAGTGGCAGGGAAGGCAGCTCCTGGGACCCACGCTGGGCCGCACCTGCGCACCTTCTGGTCCAGGCCCTGGGCGGAGGGCTCACCCCTCCACTGCCCCCGAGTCGTGCCCCCAAGTCGTGCCCCCAAGTCTCCTCCTGGGCACCCGTTGCCCTCACCTTGATCAATACACCCAAAGCCTCGGCTCCCACCTCTGTGACCTGGGCCGAGTCCTGTCCCCAAGGTAGCTGAAKTCCTTCCCCGGTCCCTTGCCAATGTGACCTTATTTGGAGACTGGATCTTTGTACTCCTGATTGAGTAACTGAGAMGAGATGCAGTCAAGTTCAGGGAGGACACACTCAAAGAGGATGGCCCCGAATGAAGGGCTGGTATCCTTGTAAGGAGGACGAGATCTGGACACACAAAGGGGAGGTGGCCGAGACTGAGTGACATCTGCAAGCCAGGGTCACGGAGGAGCACCAACAGCCACCAACAGTAAGACAGCACGGCCCACCAGACCTCCACTGCAAAATCTGGCCTCCGGACTGGAAGCAACATGCTGGTGTTGCTTGGAGTCATTGTGTGTGGCGGTTTGTCACAGCGGCTGCCAGAACCTAATTCCGTCTTTCCTCACCAGAGACCCTGGAAGGAGCAGAGTCCACGGGCAGCCTGGAAGGCGGAAGCTGTCTGTTTGCCCAGCATCTTCGTGATGAAACCCGCATCAGTCTYAGGGATAGAGGTGGGAGCCGCACAGGCCACCTGTGGGGGCTGCTCAGAGCAGCTCCAGGACAGCTGCCACTGTGCTCTGCCCGAAGATGAAGGTGCCCAGCAGCACAGAGATCACGCCCCAGGCCTCCAAGCAGCACCTGCCAATTCAACGCACCACGTCAGCGCCAGGCAAAGCCGGCCCTGCACCCACAAGCGAAGCTGGCCTGGAAACGTGCTGCTGGACCCCAGGGGAGTCACCGGTTTTGAGAAAATTCTTTTCTCTCCTTTACCTGAGGGGATGGGTTTCTGAGTCAACTTTGGGAAATAAAGTACCCAGGCATTTCCCAAAACCTCCTCTCTCCATCTCTTAGTTCATAATCTTGTTCCTCCCCAATATTTTATCAGAGGGGTGAAGGGCTCTGTTTCAAACTCCCCTCTTCTCATCTACTTAAGCCCCCCAATGAGGGATGAGATAAAAACTGTAAGTCACAGTCACACACCCACTGGGGGAGGAGCCTGGTGGAGGTGTGGGCTGGGGACTGGCTGCCAGCGCCACATTCGTAAGCTTCCTAATATAATCAGGTGAGTCAAGGAGGTGGGGCCATGAGAAGACTCCCACCAACAGCAGGTGGCCAGAGATGGCTCTGGCCCTGTCAACAGAGGCTAGGAGGACCCAGGGGCCAGGAGGGGCATCTCTGGTGAGCACATGTCAGTGGCACCCACGCACACAGTGGGGGGACGGCAGGTGTGACCCACTCGATGGTTCAGGACGAGAGCATCTGAGGAAGAAAATCGTCTTGAGAGCTCTCCAGTAAAAACCRTGATGAGCATGGATCATGGGACAGAGCCAAGAGCAAGATTCCAAAGAGCGCACCAGAGACATGCCATTAGGGTGCCAGGTGGCCAGGGTCAGCTCTGGGCTCAGGTGGGGAGAAGCCATGCTGAGCCTGCTCTTTGGAGAAGCTGAGCTTGAGTCCAGAGGGGCTGGGGGACAGGGCCATAGCCGGGCCACAGCATGGCCACACCCTGGCTGTTGTGACTTCAGAGTGTCTGAATTGGGCTGAATGTGACCCCCAAGGCTCACGTCCACCTGGGACCCATGAGTGTGACCTCTTTGGAAACAGGTCTTTGCAGAAGTAACGGCATGAGGATCTGTGAGGAGATGTCCTTCTAAGAGAAGGGCAGTGGGGGACTTGAGACCCAGAGACAGATGGCCACAGGAAGACGGAGGCAGGCAGACACGGGTGCAGMAGCTACAAGCCAAGGACACAGTGGCCACCAGCAGCCTGCAGAGTGGGCAGCCTGAGCCCAGGCTGGTCCCCAGGGCTGGGAGAGGACGCTTTCCTTGCATTCGGCCTCAGGAGGTACAAATCAAATCTGCTCTGGTGGCCCTAAGACACTAGAGCRGCATGTCCTCACCTGCCTAGCCTCTGTCTTTGCACCTGTGAATGGGAACCAGCCCCACTCTGTCCTGTCGTCTCCTGACGGGCCTCATGCTGATGTGGAGGCTCCCCAGAAGGACGGTGGTGGTGTGTAACAGGCCCAGCGTGGCCGCACCCAGGGCACCAGCAAGACCTGCTGTCTGAGGACACTGCATGAAGCCTGGGTCCAGCCTGCCACCGCAGCTCCCTGACTCCACCAGCAGGCAGCCCGTCCTGCCCTGGGTCTAGCCAATAGCCAGGACCGGGTGGATGTGCATAGGTCGGGCACTGCTGGCTGGGCACCCATCTGGCTCAGCTGTCCTCTTACCATGGGGATGCCCCCTCCCCAGAGGCCTGTGTTTCTCACCCACAGGAGGAGGGTGGACAGAAGCACTCTCACTCCTGGTCCACGGGCACACCCGAGCCAYCATCCTGGCTTTGAGGACACTCACTTGACTCTTGGTCCTATGGGCTCGACGCCCACGGCACAGATGAGGCACAGACCTGGGAAGAGATGCAGTCAGCACCCAGGTGACCTCAGGGGCCCCTCGAGGACTTTCCCACAGGTGGCCCACAGGCCAGTCCCTCCTGGCCAGGTGGCACATTGTGGGGGCCTGAGGCTCAACTTGGAGTCAGGCAGGTGGGGGGAGTTCCAGCTCAGCACCCCTCCAACACCTTGGCCAGTGGTGACAATGGCCTCTAGAGCCTCAGTCTCTCAGGGACAGTGACAACACCGCCCACAGCAGCGTCAGTGAGGGTGTGGCGCAGATGAGGCTGGCACCTGGAGGTGCACAGCGGCTGGCAGACAGGGCTTCTTTTCCCTTTGCCTATGTGTACCTGTTTGAAAGTAGCTCTGGAGGGCCCACAGGATCACCACCACCGACCTCCAGCCCGCATGGGAGGGCTGGGACTCAAGGCACCCAGCKCGAGCTAAACCGGAATACGGCGCCCAGATAGGAGCTCAGGGCGCGCGGCTAGGAGAGCTCTTCCCAGGATGGAGGAAGCCCCCCTCCACCCGTCCACCCCGAGCTCAACCCACCAGACAGCCTGCTGCTCCCACTCTGTAAGTGTCCTCAGCCTCTTGATACCCAGCTTCTCCCCAGCCCTCCATGTCAACATCTGTCCCCCAAGGCTGTTGGTGACGCCCTCGCTGCCATTCTACCTGGCCCCAAGTTGAACTTCACTTCCCATTGGGTCTCTGGAGGTCCACCCAGGGGCACCGGCCTCCCTGTTTGACATTGCAGCAGGACTGCGGCACTGAGGGTGTCTGGCTACAGGCTCCCCAATTTTACCATCTGCTCAATGTGGCTGCTCTCCCAGCAGAACTGCAGGCCTGTGGGCCTCAGCTGTCCCCCCAGGGCTCCTCGGGCCCTGAAGCATGCCCCTGCTGGCCCTGGCTGGGATCCTTTGGGGAGAACGCCGGGCTGGGACTGGAATGCGTGCCAACACTGGGAGGTCTCTCAGGAAGCCCTCGCCTCGGGAAAGGGAGTGTGCCAGTTCTRGGACAGGTGGGGACGTCCCTCATGTCTTTTGCACCTGGAGCTATGCGAGTTTCACTGCAATTAAAAAATTAAGCCTCATCCTGCAGTAAGAGGCAGCAGTGGCATGTGGACGAAGCTGCGGTGGGCTCGGCCCTGCCACGCTCCGGCTGAGCCTCCTGGGACTCTGGCCTGGGCCTCCCCATCCGTGGGATCTTGAGCTGCTAAACCAGGGCAGGTGTGCAAAGCCTCAGGCCGCATGCCTGGTGACCAAGGGCCTGCTTGGGGCCCGCAGCCTGCCCACAGGGCTCCCACCTGCCAGAACCTTAAGGCCCCACAGAGCTGGGCCAGCGCRAGGGGAGGGGGGCAAGCCTGGAGGCGGCCACTCACCTGGGAAGATGAAGATGAAGAAGGAGCTGATGCCCCCGATGATGCCAATGATCTCGCTGAGGTCGGGCAGGAACAGGGCCATGGCCAGTGTCACAGCGACCCACAATATGGTCAGCGGCACTCGAACCCACGGCCCCGTGGGGTCAGCTAGCACCAGGGGCCTCCAAGTCCCTCTGCAGCTCCTTGTCCAAAAATCCTGCATCACAGACCTGGAGACCGTGCCGACCCAGAAACATGGCACCCCAGGGGCCCCAGCCAGTGCCGGGCACTGCCAGTCCCCAAGTCCTCCTCCGGTCCCCCATTCTGCCCCCAGGTGCTTACTCCCCAGGGGACCCCCAACCCTCAGGGGCTCAGCGACTGTCAGATGGGCTGCCAGCAGAGTGCAGCACAGGGGAAGGTCCAGCGCATGTGGCTCGGCCCAGTCCTGGTTGGCGCTCACTAGGCAGCACTGGGCAGCTCTGGGTAAACTCCCCAGGCCCTCCGTGCCCGGTTTCCTCCTCTCTCCTCTGAGATAACACAGCCCCACCACAGGCTGAACCCACCCACTAGTTGCCAGCCACCCCCACCCGGCTCACCTCCCCAGGAAGAGCACAATGGGGTAGACCGTCACAATGGAGACGGCGAAAAGGACCCGGGCAACGATGATGGCCACGTCATCACCCGGGTAGGACATCAGGATGTCAGCAGAAACTCCGGTCCCAAACGTCAAGAAGCCATAAGCCCCTGCGGCAGGAGCATAGCATCCGGCACACTCCAGACAGAGAAGGCCAACCCCCCAACACACAGGGCCCGCGGGTTTCCCTGGGAGCTGAGCGAAGGTTCCAGAAGGGCTCCCCATCCCACCCTTCTCCAAGGCCGTCCTGCTGGCCCTCAGCCTGCGATGCCCCTGGGTTGCACTCCCGCCCAGCCCTGGTGTCTGCTCACATCTGGTGCCAGTGGCCTGCCCAGAGTGGACGGAGGCTGGAGGCTCAGTGCTTGAAAATCCAACCTGCTCCAGCCCAGCCCGCTCCTCGGACAGCCCTGGGTCAGTGGCCACCCAGAACCACACAGCTAGTTATGGTGGCCTGAGACTCAAGGACAATCCCCTGGCCTCAGTGACCACGGTCACACCTGCCCTAAAGCACACCTCTGGCCAGGAGCTGAGGCTTTTTTGGCTTTGCTCAGGGCTCTTTCTGAAGGGGATCTGCCAGCTCTGGGTGTCTGAAGCTGACGATCATGAGGCACGGCCCTCCGACTCGGGGCTAGACCGACAAACCCTGCTCTGCTGAGGGCCATGTCCCAGTTGCCTTAGGGTGACTTCAGAAGTCCAAAGTTGCCCGACACGCCTGCTGCAGCCCAAGCCTTTCCAAATCAGAGGCTCCAACAGGTGGATTAAAAAGGCCACCAGGCTGGAAAGTGGCAGGCCAGAAGTCATCCCGGCCCCACCTCAGGCTCTGTGCTGCAATGTGCCCGTGACCTCAGGCATGTCATGGGCCCTTTCTAAGCTACACATCTGAGGATCCGCTGCAGCAGTGCAGCCCTCATGACACTGTGGGGCGCTCAGAATGGAAACTGTGGAGCCAGCACTAGCTGTGGCTCCCCTTCCTTCTGCCACGCCCTGCCCACCCCTGGGTGCCCCGCAGGGTCCTACCTGTCAGCGAGTAGATGAGACAGCAGGACAGCAGGGACAGCACGGAGACCAGGGCCCAGTGGGAGAGGCTCTGGCTGCGCATGCTGCAGTAGATGGAGACGGCGGCTTCGTGACACTGGAGGGCAGAAGTGTGGTCAGCGAGACTCAGGTCAGCAGGCGTCAGGACCACCTGAGCGACTGGGAATACTGCCCAAAGATGGGGAGCACCCTGTGTGTCCAGCATTAGCAGAAGACATAAATAGACCACGGGAGACTCACACAGGCAAGACTGCATGGCTCCAAAAAGATGGAGCCCAGCTCTCYACCTGAGCCCCGAAGACTCGCAGGCATGCCACCCTGAACACAGGGCCAGGCAGGAGAGCMTGCCGCGGGGTGAAGTTCAGACAAGCCTGCAGCAGGATTCCTGACCTTGGCACTACTGGCTTTGTGGGTGCAGGTAGTCTCTTGGTGGGGGCTGCTCTGTGCACTGAAGGATTGTGTGTAGCACTCCAGCTGTGATCCCCTGGATGCCCCCATTTGTAACAGCCCAAACGTCTCCAGATGTGGCCAAATGTCACTCAGGAGCATCTCTGCTCTAGGTGACAGATGGTGGAACAGTGGTTCAGGTAGAATGGGTGCCACTGGTGGGAAAAGGCAGCGAGGGGCCTCCCGGAGTTGACAGCGTCACTCAGGAGCACAGACTTAAACCTGCATAGTTCATGTGCAATATGTCACCTCTTACAGGATTTGCCACATAAACCGTGCAGGGGATGCAAGAGCCCCTGTGGTTGGGTGTTGCACTCGGGCAGACGAGGCACTGGCACAGCAGAGCAGCCAGGGTGGACGGACGCTGCCTCCTCTCACACACTCCGCACTCCAGGGTCCCAGCTCCCAGGTCGGGTCCCATCACCTGGTTCCTTGCTCACCACCGCCCCACTGGTCACTCACTGAGCAGGGCCTTCCTGGGCCCCCCTGCAGCTGACCTGCCGYCCAGCCCTACTCATCCTGCTTGGAGCCAGCGTTCCCTCTCACACTTGGCCCCAACAAGTGCTCCTTTGGGTCTGGTGTTCAGCAGCCATCAGCTGCATGATCATAACTGTGGCCACCTTGCCCATCTGGGGCTGCCCAGAGCCTGGCAAGGCTGACAACCATACTATAGTTACCCACTAACTTCCCAACTTCCCCGCAGCCGCCCTTGTCCCTCCCTGTCCCAGGCTCCGTGTCACTCAGATGCTGGTGCGTGCTGGGCATACAGTGTCAGCAAACCGGCCACAGTGCCCTGTCATGGAGCTCCCCTCTCAGAGGTGGGGGCGGCACACTGGCCTCATCCCTCCRGGCCCCACCTGGGTGAGCCCTGGTGCACCTCCCTTGGGGCAGCTGTGTGCCTGCTTTCTTCCTGGGGTCTCCCTGAACCCCAGGAGACGAAGGCCACAGGCTAGCTGAGCCCCAAGCCCCCCGCCACGGGCAGCAGACTCTGGATGAGGCCCGCAGCTCCTCCATGCTGGGCGCTCCTGGGACACACCCTTCCCAGAAGGCCAGGAGGCCAGGAGTTCCGCCSGGCCATGACCTGAGGGTGCTCCTCCACACATCGTCCCCTGTTCACAGCAGACCCCAGGTGCCCCGCATCCCAGGCTCTGCTTTCAGCTCTGTGTGCAGAGGCACGGCGGGGCCCAACGTGGGGGCAGACCTCAGGGTGCTGGATGCACCAGGAAGCCTCCTTCCCTGTGCTCCTGCGTGGGGCTTCTGTCTGTTGACGGCGGGTGACAAAGAGGGGCCCTCAGGGTGGCTGCTCTGCAGGGCCGTTGGGGTGAGGGGGCTGGTGTGTGCAGGCTCACAGCTGCTCTGTGACAGAGGCCGAGCAGAGGTGGGGACACCAGACACAGAGACTGCGGCTGACTATTGGGTGGGACGCTACTGGGCCATAGCGAGGAAGGGAGCAGACACGCGCCACGTGAAGGAATCGTGGTGCCGAGGGGAAGACGCAGTGCCACGGCACTGGTCCCATGTATATGAAAGGCATATAAGGGGAGACCCAGGGACAGAGCAGGTCAGGGGTCCGCGGGGGCTGGGAGAGGGAGGCAGAGTGGCTGCTGACACTTAGGGGGCTCTTTTAGGGCCTGACAAACATGTTCTGAAATTGATGGTGGTGGCAGCTGTAGGTCAACTTGTGCGCTTCAGAAGGGCGGGTCGTACAATAAGTGACCTGCCCCTCAACACAGAGGTAAAACCAAACCCAGAAGACCCAGGGAGGCCTGGGCGGCTGGAATCATCTGGGCAGCCCCTCTGTCCCTCAGGCCCCACACCCAGCCTGCACAGGCCATGCGGGAGGGACTGTCCACTGCTAACTGCGCCTGGTGGCGGTTTGAATGAGGTCCCTTCCTGAGGACCACAGGCCCACCTGCCCCTCCCTGAGCTGCTCAGCCTCCATCGTCTCTTTTCTCCCCACCTCTGGCCCAACCCTGCCCCCACCGTCAGGCAGCCAAGCAGCGCAGCGGGTGGCCTGGTTGCTAGGAGAGCTAGCTGGGGCAGCCGAGACAAAGGTGAAGCCAGGGCCAGGCGCCCACCATGTGGCCGGGGCCAGGAGGGGCAGCCAAGCTAGACCAGATCACAGCCAACAGCAAATCCACGCTGCGCATCTCCCAAGATGTTGGGTGTGAGAAGAACTGCCCGAGCTGCTGGCTGAACCCCAGCAGCGGCACTGAGTCGTTTAKAAAGATGAGAAACAGGAGTGTTTCCGATATTCCAAAAACGCTTCTCAAAAAAAAAAGGCAAGAYGACAGCAGAGACTGGCTGTGGGAGGGGGAGGGCCTGGAGGCTCAAGGCTGGACTGCGCCAGCCCTCGAGCTGGGTTTTACTCTGCAGAGTCCTGTGGTTGGGGGTGGCATCAGTGGAGGGGAGGTGGTTGTTTTTAGGAGATGGAGGCAAAACTTCCCCAAAGGAAACCACGAAAAAAGGAGGCAGCTGCCAGGAGAGCAGGGAGCCCCAGTTCCACAGAGGGGGCGTGGGCCGCCCCTCCTCCACCACCGCCCTCCGCCTGCCCAGGCCGGCATGCTGGGGGCTCCCTGTGCTGCGGCCTCCGCCTGGCGGACCCTCCTCCACCTGGCTGCGCCCCCATCCTTCCAGAGTCCTTGCCCCCGCCCGCCTCTGCTGGGGGGGCCACACCAGCTGCCTTCACTCCTCGCCTGCCTCTGCCACTTGGTCCCTCCAAACTGTGAACCTCACGAGACACAATCCTTCTCACCTGGCCCCTGGGACAAACCCACCTGCAGGCCTGGTGTCCTGGAGCATAGGAGGGCAGCTCCAGGCCTGCCCGCCTGGTGACAGTCTGTCAGCACTCTGCAGAGGGGGACAGGCTCCAGGTCCTCACACTCTACTGCAAACCTAGCACACATGGGGCTGCTGCTGGTGAGGACTAGGTTCCCAAGTTCAATGACAATTCACCACCCACCAGGGAAGCCAGACGCCAACCCACTGACAGTCTCTGAAACAGCCTCTGGCCACTGTGGGTGCCGAGAGCCCAGGGCACCCTAGAACAAGTCCTCGGACTTCTCCCCGACAGGAGCAGGGAGCCTCGGAAACGGCCACACTCTGAACTCACCTGAAAACCAAAGCAGATCGTGGGGAAGACACTGAACACAGACGTCCAGGGCGGAGGGCTGTAAGTCACAAGAACAGGCGTTGGTTAAGGAAGGGAACTCAAACCACCCGCAACTCGAGAGGATGGATTTTAAACCATGCCAGAGGCCTCACCTGAGCACGGCTACAAGATGAGTTGTTTTTTTTTTTAAATCTTTTAGTTGAGGATGGACACAATTCCTTTATTTATGTGGTGCTGAGGATCAAGCCCAGTGCCTTCTACATGCAAGGTGAGTGCTCTGCCACTGAGCTACAATCTCAGCCCACAAGATGTGGTTTTTATTTTCTTTTAAATATTTATTTTGTAGTTGTAGTTGTCAGTACCTTTATTTTTTATTTTTATTTTTTATGTGGTGCTGAGGATTGAACCCAGGGCCTTGCACATCTACCGCTGAGCCCCAGCCCCAGCCCACGACAGGCTTTGGAGGAAGGAAGGAGGGCTTGTTAAATGCTACGCTTTCTAAGTAGGTCTTTGCCGACACTGGACACCACGACACTCTCCAGGTGGGCAGGACGGGGCAAGCCTGCTCTGGAAGCAGCCCCTGCCCTCCCTCTTCAGCTGTCTGCTGCCAGTGCAGTAGAGGGCAGGGGCAGAGGCGGCCTCCACCCCACACTCCAGTAATGCCAGGAGGGTGTGACCTCCTTCCAGGCCTAGGGACAGAGGTGTGCGTGGGCAGAAGCTCCAGGTGGACCCTCTCAGGGCTCCCAGCCTCCTTTCACAAGCACCTCTCCACACCAGCCTCCAGCAACCCTGGGGACACAGAGCAGAGCAGGCAGCAAATAGTGCCCCCGGCAGACTAAGCATTTCCTGATAGAATCGGGCCCCAAAGAGGTGCATGTCACCGTCAGGAACCTGCAGGTGTGGTCCCTTAGGGCAAAAGGAACTTGGCAGATGTGGTTAAGGGCTCCAAGATGGGAGCCCAACATCATCACAGCGTCCTGGAAACCAGAGAACCCTGCCTGGCTATGGTAGGAGGGGACAATGATGACAGAAGGTGGGTCAGAGGTACACTGTGGCTGGCTTTGGAGGAGGAGGAAGGGGCCACAAGCCGAGGCGTGTGTAGCAGCAGCTATAGGTCGGCAAAGGCAAGGATTATTGGATTCTCCCCTGGTGTCTCACACTCACACCCAACTTCAGCCCAGTGACACTCTTGTTGACCTTGCCCTCTAGAACTGTGAAGGATGCACTTGTGTCAGCCTAACTCACTCACCACCCCTGGCCAGGTCTTCCTTGCTCCTCTACCACTAACCCCTAGTGCCCAAGCACCAGAGGCTGGGTGCAGACCTCGGGCTGGAGGCCTGAAATGCCAACGCCAAATCTCCAAGCCAACRCCAACCACCCTGCTCCCTCCAGCCTGGCCACTGCCCTCAACGGCAGGCACCCGGGCCTGACAGCGCCTCGACACCTGTTCCACACCTCCAGCCACCTCCACGGGACCTCCTCCTGGCCCTACCCCTCAGGCAGGACAGTGTCCCCTTCCCTCAGGCTACTCAAGCCAAGAGCTCAGGTTCCCATCCACTCCCTTCTCAACGGCCTCGAATGGACCTGTGACCTGCCGTGGGATCTGTGTGGCTGCTGCAGGGTGAACATGCTGGGCCCCTCACTCGGCACAATCCAGAGGTTCCAGAGAGCACAACTGAGCCCAGGCCCCCAAGAGCCACAGGCCATGAGCTGGCCCTGCCATGGGCCAGTCGGACACAGCACATCCAGCATCTGGCCTCATCTCTCTGGAAGCCCTGTGGTCTGCAGTGTCAGGACACAGTGGACCTCCTGCCTGGTCTCCCCGTTTCTGCCTGACTCTGGAGACCACAAACAACCAGGCGAGCCTTTTTAAAAGAAAATCACGTCACATCCCTGCTATGCTCAGAAGAGTGCTGTTCACAACCCACCCAGTGCAAACCAAAGTCCTGCCACAGCGCCGAGTGCTTACCAACACCCCTGCCCCACTTTCTGTCCTGGCTGAGTGGCCCACCAGCTTAGCAGCCCACCAGCTTAGTGGCCACCAGCTTAGCCTCCTCACGGTCCCCTCTGCCCCAGCAACCTGGCTGCTGGGTTTTGCTGCATCCCCCTGTAGGGACACATCTACCATGGCCAGGAGCCCCAGGCTAGTGTGGGCCTTCAGCACCTGTGTGGCCTGGGCCTGTAGCTGGTCATCCCTGGGGATGGCTGCAACCTTTCTAAAGAAGGAAGGGGGCTTTCCTTGGCCTTGTCATGCATAAGGAAAGAGAGAGACCTCACAGGAAGGGCCAGGGCCCTGCAGGAAAGCCCAGGAGTCCCACATGCAGGCTCCCCATGAAGAGCTGTCTGCGCAGACTCACCTCAGGGAAGGACGGGGCTCCTGCACGAGGCCATGGGGCCAGAGGTAGTACTGCACTGTGATGACCAGGGCCAGGTAACAGGAGGCCAGGGTGCCTAGGGTGCTGACACAGACGGGTGGGCGTCAGGGTGCCAACACTGGGCGACAGCCAGTGCAGGGAGGTACACACTGGCATCCAAATTCCTGCCCTCCCTGGCCAGCACGGTCGCATTCTCCTCCTGAGCATGCGTCCCCTCATCTGTACAAAGGGCAGCAGCACTGGCCACTCAGGCCAAGAGGCTGGGCATGTGGAGTTTTGAAGGTCACTGGCGTCCTCGGGGATGATAACTTGCCCCTCACTAACAAAGGCCAGTCAGCTGCTCAGACTTGGCACCCAGGTCAGGGTACCAGCAGTCAACCTCAGGAAGAGGAGAAGACGGTGGCTCGGCCGTATGTGACACAGAAGCTCTGTGGCCTGCCACGTCTATTGTTCCAGAGGCAAAAATCTACCTCTGCTCACATGCACTGAGGGAAAGGCCTGTGCAGCCTGGGTGGAGGTGCCCCACGCGCCTTTCTTCAATAGTAAACCCAAGGCCTCAGGGGGRAAAAAAATCAAGAAAAAGCTGTGCGTATCTCTGTGCCTGTGTCTGGCTGTGGGCAGGACAAGTCGGTGACAGTTCAAGAACACAATGTCATGTCACAGCAAGCTTCTTGCCGATTTGTGTTTCCCACCAGGGGCGAGTGTCGTTTCTACAAGCTTCAATCTCTTCCCTTCTCCCCTCATCCCTCCTAATGCCAGCATTTGCCAAGGGGAGACCCGGTTGGCACGCTGCTCTGCCTGGAAGCGTCTGCAGCCCCTGTACCTTGTGTATTTCTGGACGGCGATGTCCCGTGGCAAGGACAGGGGCAGGATGACCAGCATGGAGAGCGTGGGCAGGGTGAAGCGCTGGGTGGCATACCACGGCTGCAGGCCGCCCGGCAGGAGGGAGTCACACACTGCCAGAGATAAGGCACAAGTGAGCCACCGAGCTCGGTRGCTGGCTGGGGTCAGACTGGGACCTGCGGGGGACTTCTGGCTGTGACTCTGGTAGAGAGCTGCTCTACAGCCTAGCTGCAGCACAACAGCAGCCCACACTTGGTGGTCCAGAATCGCCATGACCCAGGTCGCCAATCAGGAGAGTTAGGGCAGAGTTGAGCCAGCCAGGGCTGCCTCACGTGGGGACCAGGGCATCTTGGAAGGGTGTTGAGCTGATGGTGATTGCTCTGGAGCCTCCTGACAGCCCATCTGCAGGACAGAGCTGTCCCAGAGCCTACCCGACTTGAGGACAAGGTGCTCAGACCTCACCCACTTCCAGGGGAGGGATAACAGAGAAGCTGGGGCTATTGCTATTCTGCCACAGCTAGAGGGCTAACATGGAGCAGATCTGAGGCAGGACAAGGGGCAGGAGAGGACGTCCACTGGAGCAGGAGGCAGTGGGGTTCTGCAGCTGGAGCGTCAGGGCAGGTGCTCCGAGCTGGAGATGCTGCGAGGGTGCGGATGCCGGAGCTCACAGGTGGGTCATGGGAAAGAGCAGGCGCTCACCCACCAGCTCCCTGGCCGCCAGGAAACTCCAGTTCAGTGTCAGGGCTATGCCAGATTCTTCTCGGAGGTGCAGTTTCTAGGATATTTCCTGAGGTCTTCAGCATTACTTACAGTGGTCATTTTTACCCAACTCACTGACTCCCCTAAACACCCCAACATCTAATTAGTTCCCCTTCCCAGGAGCTTTGGGCTTGCCAAAGAAAGTCATATCCCCAAATACCTAACCAGAAACATGGGTGGTACTCTCCACCCCAGTCAAGAGGGCAACTCGCATCCTGATCAGCACCATGGTCATGGTGCTCCAACACTGGTCCTTCAGCCCTCCTCAGCACAGCACTAGCAGTTCACCACCAGGAAACTTGAGAGAAGCAAGGCACTCTGTGGCTACTCGCCCACCAGGAGGGTCAGGGAGACCAACTGTGATGCTGTATGACAGTGTTTCCCAAGACATGGTGGCCTTAATTCCAAAATCCCATGGCCAGGGACCTTTTCATACAGGGATCAAAGGTCAGAGAAAAACAAATGGTAAATGGTAGACTTAAMCCTAACCCTATCACTAATTACATTCCAATTAAGTCTAAACAATCCAATTAAATGTCTTGAGATTGTCAAGATGACAGAAAAATGCAAGAGCGGAACAGATGCTGTCTACAAGAAATGCATTTTAAAATTCCAGGTCAAGTTCAAAGTACAAGAAAAGGAACAATGTCTACTGCACACATTGTGATCTGAAGGGAGCCAAGCGGCCTATCTACAGCAGAGAAGGTGGACTCACTCAGAGATAAGGCAGAATGTTTCATAACGATAACAGAATGTCCCTAATCACAGAGCTTCAAAAACCAAGAAGCAGAGATTGACAAAATTAAAGGGAGAAATGGACAAATCTGCAAATGCAGCTGAACTATTGAGAAAATAACTAGAACAAAATAAAAAGATGAACAGGGCTGCCACAGGAGACCTGCACAGGGCTGCTGCCCACCTGGCCTGACACCGGTTCCTGCACGCTGCACTCAGCAACTGCAGAACACAGCTCCCCACAAGCGCACAGAGTGCTACCAAGGCTGACCAAGTGCTAGGCCACAAAGTCCCAACAGATCTCGGAAGACTGACAGCTGGGGTGTGGCTCCGTGTAGAACCCTTGCCTAGCCTGCCTAGCAGTTGGAACCCCAGCACTGCAAAAACAAAAAAGTTGAAATTACCAAGTTCTCTGTCCACAAAATAATGAAGGTAGAGATCAGAACGGGATCTAAAAAACTTCCAAACAAATGGAAATTAAACAACACAATTCAAACATCCCATTAAGTTATAGAATAAATGACAGCAAGAACTAGCAGATATTCAGGATGGTATAAAAATGAGAGCAGAACATATGGACACTGGTAAGGTGCTGCTAAGGCAGTGCTTAGAGGAAAAGTCTTAGCAGGGGACCAGAAAGAGTCCATGTCACTTAGGCATTTCAAAATTGAAGGCATTACTGGGCCTCTTTCAGCAAGGATTTCTTGCAGTTGGCTCCATCTCCCCGTCTGTGAAATGGGCTGTGACCACTGGACATCCCATGTAGGCATGGTCTCTCCTGTTCAGCCCAGGACCACTGCTCTACTGCTGATCAGTTTGAGTCTCCCTGCCCCACCATGTTGGGAACTTGGATGTGCAGCCCCTTGGGCCCTGCCCAGTATCTTGTGTCCCACTTAATATGGGCTCTGTACCTTGGGCCACTCTGACTCTTCAAGGATACTTACACTTCTCCAGCTGGTCTCCAATTACCCTGAAAAAAGCCACGGAGATCATGAGCAGGTTGATGATGAAGCAGGCCTCACACAGTTTCCCGATGGTGGGGCCACAGAGCCCATGGACCACACCCTGGTAGGTGGCCTGGCCGCTGACAGAGGCCGCGTAGCCCAGGATGACCAGCCCACTGATCAGGAAGACCAAGGAGACCTGCAGAGAAAGACTGTGGGACTATGCATGCTCAGGTCAGCAGCCCCAGGGCCTCCACTGGGCCTCTGAGGAGGCCAGGCTGGGGACTGGCTGTGGAACCTGCAGCCTCCACCAAATGGTCTTCCACTGGGCCTTGTGGAGGCCAGGGCTGGGGACTGGCTGTGGAGCCTGGAGCCTGCAGCCTCCACCAGATGGGCTTCCACCCCTCCCTACCCTGAGTCAGAGCTGCAGAGCAGGTGGAGCCCAATGGCCACTCTGGCTCTGCAGACCTGGGTTCTGACCCCATCCTGCCCCAGCAGGACAGAAGAGACAACAGGAGTCCAGAGAGTTTAAACTACTCCCCTGGGTCGCCTGGGTGTGGGTGTGTGCGGTTAGGAACCCAAGGAGGAACAGTAGGCCTGGGCCCAGAAGCTAACTGTGTGTGGCCTGCTGTGTGGGGGCCAGACCATCCGCCCCTGCTGCTTCTTCTGTGAAATGGGTACAGCCTGCCCACCTCAGCAGGCCTGACCATGGCAGGGGACAGGCCTAGCTCAGGGCCCTCTCAGGGAAGTGGTGGCCATCCTTCAGTGCTCCAATCTCCCTCTATGTCGGCTGAAATATTTTCCCCACTGTTTACCATGATTTCCAAACATACAGGAGAGTTAGAATGATTTTGCAGTGAGCACCACACCCACTTCCCAGCTTGGGCCAAGGGCAGCTCCTGTTCATGGYTTCAGTCTCCACCCACTGGCCAGGCCTCTGCAGCTCGCAGCCTCCACTGATGGATGCATCTGAAGCAAGCTGCTGGTATCAGTGTGCTTCCCCGACACGCTGCCCGCAGCTACAGAGGGCCATGTGTTCCCAGTCCTCCCGTGGAATTTACACACAATCAAGGGCAGGATCTTCCGTGTCATCAGAGCTGCGCAGGAGATGCACGTGGACACCCACTCCTTTTGGTGCACAGTGTTCCACAGTCCCTGGAAGGTCCGCAGGCCCCTTCCAGCCAGCTCTGCCTGTCTTTCCCTGGAAGAAACCCCTGACCTCCCCTTCCCCCTGTTCTGTGTCCCTATCTGGCTTCCTCCACTCGGCATAGCTCTGATGACAGTACCCTGTGCTGTGTGTGCTGCTGATCACCATTTTTGCAGAGAATGGTCCACCACGTGCAGGAATGGTGCCCCAACCTGCAAACCTGCGACTTCGACTTAGTTTTTGCAGATGTCAGTGATGACGAAGAGTCTTAAAGCATGTTGTAAGAGCCTCAGGTGAAGTTGCCAGGATCATGCAGCTGGCCCCAATTCCAGTGATGAGCATCCTTCTGGGAGAGAGGAGGGGCCCCAGGAAAAGCAGGAGGTGGAGTCTGCAGTGAGGTGGTCACGCACAAGCTGCAGGCCCTGGGCCTCCAGGGGCCAGAAGAGCGTGGAGGCAGTGGGCCCCTCTGACACCTTTGACCGACTCTGGCCTCCAGACTGTGGGAAGATGTTCCTGGGGCTTTAAACACCCATCTGGGGTGCTCTGTCCAGCAGCTGGGGGAACAGACTCTGGCAGCTGCGCAGCTCTGCACACCCCAGCACGGTCATGTCTGGCTCCGTGAGGACCACACCACATTTCTCTGCGCCAGAGAAGGTGCTCAGTGAAGACCTTCCGGGGTTGAAGGAAGTGTGAGAGGAGCTTCGGCCCAGAACCWCCCCCAGGACCAGTGGCCAGGAAGCGACGGCAGGACAGCAAAGTCTGGCAATCTGTCCCAGGTCTGGCCTTCACAACTCCCAAGAGTCGGAGGTTCACCAGTTACACCTCCTTCCACCGCAGCCATCGGAGCCCTCCAGCCTCTGCCCACTGAGCTCCTGGCAGGGGTCTGGGCCTCCTGGGCAGCTCTGGAGGAGAAAGGATGCCCGAAGGTGGCCCCTTCCCAGCAGCAGAGCCAGATTTACGTACGGGTGCTCAGAACTTTGCCTGTGAACCACCCGGCTGTGACTGACCTCACCAGCCACGGAGGAGAATGTTTCCTGCCCAGGGCCACGAGATGGACTGTGGCCTCCCCCATCAGCCAAGCAGATAGAGGGCAAGACCCCAGAGGCCCTGTTCCTAGACAAGCAGCCTGCGGATCCCACCCAGGAAGCCGAAGCGGCCACGCAGCCACACAGGGCTCCAGAGCACCTCCCGAGACTTACCAGCTCCACCAGGAAGGCGGGCCCCACGCCCCCGGCCTTGTGGAAGGCCCAGGGGAAGCTGAGCAGCCCCGCTCCCAGCGCGGACTTCAGGAGAATGAAGATGGCGCCCACAGAGGACAAGCTGCGGGTGGCAGCAGCAGGGAGGGGCTTTTCTGGAGGGCCTCTGCCTCCTCGGGTCTGTCCCTCCATGGCTGGGGACAGCAGAGGGACAGAGAGAAAGGCTAGTCTTTGCCCCCCCTTCCTTCACAGCTTCAGGCCTCATCCCCAAGACCTCAGATCCCTCCCTCCAGGGCAACCCCTCCCCCGCAGCCCTCTTCCGCAGCCCGGACTGGCCTGTCCGAAGCGCCACTCAGGCATTAGCTCCATGACCCCTGCCCTCACCCCTCCACTTTCTACCTGCTTATTCTCACTTCTGTTCTCTGAACCCCGTGGTGATCCTGACCCCCTGTCCTTCCCCCCTTCAGTCCTCCAACTCCCTCCCCCATCCACCCTCAGCCCACTCCACCACCACCAAGCTTCCAACCTTCTGCACCCATGGCACCCCAAGCCCTGGTCCTTACCACAGATACCAACGCTAAGGGGCCAGACAGTCCCGGCCACCAGGGACAGGTCTCAGGCTCCCTCCAGCTGCCTCTGCTGCATTGCTTGAGCAGGGAGGGCTGCCGAGGAAGAGCCCACCTCAGCTGGGGATGGGCTGACCGCTGATGACGGAGGGGGCCCCAGAGGGCATGTGGGGTCAGGGCCCAAAGGCCAGGGAGACAGGGACAAGGGGTCAGAGCCACCTTGCCAAGAGTTTGCAGCTTCTGAGACAGCTGACCTCACCAGGGAGTCTTAAGATACCCCCACAGGCCCCTCCTCGGGGTGGGGCTTCCGAGGGCTCTGAAGGAGCTCAGCTGGCTTCTCCAGGGCGCCGCCCTCAGGTGCCCCTGTGAGGCCCCCAGCCTGAGGGTGGGGTGGAGGTCTCTGAGCTGAGCCTGCCACGGATTGGCAACGTGACTCCTGGCCAGACCCTCATCTGTAGCAGGTGTGCCACGTGGGGTGCCAGGGGCTTCCCTCCCCCGCTTGCCCTGGGAGCTCCTCCAGCACGGGGCTCCCTCTCACCTGAGGCCTGCCACGGGGCAGACTGCTCACCTCTAACAAGCTTGATGGGGAGACAGCTGCAGCTGGTCCCGAACCACACTTGGAAGGGGACCCCTCTTCAGATGGCAGAAAGGTGGCACTGGCCCCGCTCTGAAAGAGGCACACGAAGTCCGGTCTTGAAATGGAGTCTGTTGGTTCCCAGAAGCCAGCCCCAATCCCATTCTTACACTCCCGTGTACCTGAGTCCCCCGGGGCAGCTGTGTTCTGGCTGCAGCCCTTCCCCAGTGCTTCTGCCCCAGCGGGTCCGGCTGGGGCCTGGGAACCTGCGTTTCTGATGAGTTCCCAGTGCTACTGAGGCTGCTGGCTGGGGGCCTCCTGTGGGAACCGTGGCTGGAAGCTATGTCAATGCCCAGAGCCCCACCCCATCCGGSCAGCCCACACCTGTCAGACACCAGGGGGGCCTCAAAAGGCTTTTTCCTTGTGTGCTCCTAAGGTCCCACCCTCTGATTTGGTTACCTCCTTGAGGCGCACACAGCCCAGCCGTGCTTAATATATGCTTGACCGGCTGTGACCAGTTTCTCAGCATGCATGCACAGGTGGAAGGAAGCAGGGCTGGAGGTCCAGGAGCTCAGGACTCACACAGCACTTGGGCTGCCACCATGTGTGGGCTGAGAGCCCAGCTTTCGAGAACGTCCACCTCAAACACTGAGAATGTCACCATGGTCCTGCTGCACACAACAGGGCCTGGGCTCAGGCAAGGGCCGTGAGAGGTGCCCAGCATCTCACCTTGAAGGCTTCAATGCCACACACCTCCCTGCCCCTCTGACTCTGACAGTGCTGGGGACAGGCTGGATGAATGAGTGAGCACATGGACGAGAGAAGACGAGAAAGGGAGAGTCACTGGGTTCCCCTGACCCCGGCCTCTGCGTTAGGTTCCTGTGGCTGCTGTAACAGCACCACAAACCAGGTGGCTTAAAACAACGGGCATTTATTCTCTCGTGGTTCTGGAGACCAGCAATCCGAGGTCCAGGTGTGAGCAGGGTGGTGCTCCCTCTGAGGGTTCTAGAGGGCCTCTCCTGCCTCTTCCAGCTTCTGGGCTGTGGGCATTCCCTGGGGGAGGCCACACTGCTCCAACCTCGGCTCCACCTTCACGGGGGTTCCCTGTGCCAAGGCTCCCAGGAAGGCCCCCGGCTGGGGCCTGGGATCGGGCACTGCTGGGAAAGGCCTTTCCTGCCTTCGACTCCTTGTCCTTCTCACTGGAGTGAGGTCGTTGAACCTTGGGCGATGCTGCTGGGYACAGCCGGGAGGGCAGCAGGACAGCAACAGCCTGGGCCAAAGGAAGAGGCGTGCGGCATTCATGCAGCCTGCCCTGGCCCTGCGAGCTGCCGAGGCTCGCCCTCTGCCCACTCCTGGCCTCCTGAGAGCAAAGATAAAGAGCCCTTCATCAGCGGCTGGGGACTTTGTACTCCTTAATCTGGCTCTGGGGGCTCAGGGGCATTTTCCTGTCCCTGCCGGTGGGTCCCTCATTAGCTGCCCATTAATGTGCATGACTTGGAAATTGGCCACTGGGCTGTGAAATTCCAGGCCGTGGGGAAAACCTCTTAATTCTGAGGGGCTTTGAAATCCACCCTCTGCCGGCATCACAGGGCTGCATGACCTTTCCTGGGCTRTGGAGGGGCACCCTGTGGGGCCCCATCTGCAGCAGCCGGGTGGTGCCCCCCCAGAGCCCTGCTCCCCGCCCCGCTGGCCCCACACAGCCTCCTCCGGCACAGAAGGCAGGCAAAGAGATGCGCAAAGGCGGCTCTCCCCAGCACCCACAYGCCCTGGCCACCCCTGGATCCTGTCTTCTCCCCAAGGAGCGTGACAGAGGACAGGCCAGGGACTCCCACGGCAAAGTGGCTCTGCTGGGTCCCTCTGCACTCAYACCTGTCAGGGATCAGGGAAGCAGACTGGTGCCAAGCAAGGGTCTCAAGCTTGTGTCAGGCCAGCCGGGTCTTCTGTGGTGGGACCACAGGGAGCGCAGCAGGCAGAAGACACGCTGCCCATGCCCACAGTGAGGGCTCTGCAGGTGCTAGTGACTGCTGGGCCCTGYTGCCCATGAGGAGGGTTCTTTGTGGGAGATGTCCTGTGTGAGCAGGGTAAAGAAAGGCGCAGAGGAGAGTGTAGGTGAGCAGGATGGCTGAGGGCAGCCAGGGCACTCTGCTGAGCCACTGCGGGCATGACATCTCCATGCAGCATTGCACAGATCCCCGCGGTCAGCCTCTGTCTGCTTCTTCATGACACCAGGTCCCTGGGGACACACCAGCACATGGACTCCCAGCATACCTGTGACTGTGGCTGGCTGGGACAGACAACGGGAATCCACACCAGGGGTAAAAGGGACCCCTGGGAGCAGGACTGCTGAGGTGAGGGACTCGCTGCACCCTGCAGGTGCTGGCCAAGCACACAGCCTACAACACTTTGCTCAGGGACTTGAGGCTCCCTCCAAGGCTCATAGCAGCAAGTGGTCAGGCTGAGGCTGGACCCAGGCAGTCTGAGTCCAGAGCCTCTGACAACTTCCCCTGAACGTTCCTCCAAGGTGGAGCCCTGGAATCCCACTATCTGTGGCTCCAGGACAACAAACCTATTGGCCAGACTCCAAGCCACCTCTCCAGACCCCAGTGACCCTCTTCTTCTGAGAATTGAGCCCTGTTCTATAGGAACAGGGCTCCCCATCCAGGAGCTCTCTCTCCAGGTTCATCTCAGCAGCAACCCTGTTCTGCATTCCTCCCAGGACTGTGTCCCAAGACCTCTAGCACCCAGACACCTTCCTAGGGTGTCACTGTCCCTTTTAGAGTGAGGATAGACATGGAACACTGAGCAGACACCAGCAGGAGAGAACAGGAAGTAAGSACACAAGTCCTGGAACTGAGCAGGACAAGTTCACGATCTCCTCTGCTATCTGTCCCAAGTCAGGGTGGCAGTGGACATCCTTGGGCCTCCTCTCCTCTGCGAATGGGACCAGGCTGCCTGTGACGGTGACCAAGGTGCATCACCACAGGCACAGAGCTCCAATGGCAGCCCCCGCTGCAGGAGGCAGGGTCCTGCTCCTGGGGCTGCTCTCTGTTAACGCAGCTCCCATGGGTCTCAGGCTTCCTGGATGCAAGGCTGCCCTTGCTCAAGGCCGCCATGGCCTGTGGCTGAGGCGGAGCTCCACCTGTCAGAGTGTCCCTGTGCAGGCTCCCTCCTGGAAAGGCCCTGAACACCTGGAAAACCCCACTCTGTTCCCGACAGCCTCTGCATGCACTCTGGGTATCCATGCTAGTCCCCCTGTCCTCGTTCTATCCCAACTGTCTGACTTAAGCCCAAAGTGTGTGTATACCCTGAGCCCAAGCTAAGTATGTTCCATCATGGGCTGGCAGGGCCACCGCCACTACAGAGGCCCCTGAAGTCCCCTTGGCAAAAGCAGAGTGCAGCAGAACTGCTCACAAGGACAAGAAGCACGACAGATGCCGACCTGGGAAACCAGACGGACCCCTGAATCTGTGGAATGCGGGGATCTGTGCAGTGCTGCATGGCGATGTCATGCCCGCAGTGGCTCAGCAGAGTCCCAGGCAGGAAGGTCCCAGGGCAGGAAGAGGGACCCTCGCCCAAGGAGGCAGGTGACCCCAGGCCACGCAGCCAGCATGGAGGCAAGCTCTCCAGCCCAACACCTCTGGTTGGAACATCATCCCACAGGGTTATCACCTAGCAGGTTAGRCTGATGCCACTAAGAACAACAGAGAGTTTTGGTCACTTCACACAAATAAAACCAACCAACCAAAAAACAAACAAAAAAACCCCACTTTAATTCAATCACTTGCCAACATTAAAAACTGGAAGGTTTCATGTAATCCAGACTTCAGGCTTCTGTCACATCCAAAGCTGCGCTACTAGACAGGGCCTCGTCCCCAGGGAGTCCCATCCCGCTGCCCTTCCCACTGCATCCTGCCTGCTCAGAGTGCTAGGGGTGTGCCGGAGCGAGGCAGCCCACACACGGGAGGACTGGTAGGGAGGCCAGAGCACCACCACTGACAAGCAGGAGCCACTCTGAGATCCACTGCCAGCTGCTGTCTGTGAGCACGGCTGTG